ATTCATCAATCCCAATACAATTAATATTATAAAATTCATATATTCACCTCTAAATTTTCCAATAATTTAACACCAAAAATGCATTGTATTGTCAAAGGACAACAATATCTCTCTGAGATAAGTAAGCAACAAAAACCGAACGTAAAGATTTCTAAGAAAAAATTGTGACAAAATAACACGACTCTTAAGCCTTGGCACGACCATAAAACTTCCGCTTCTCTTGGGTGGTCATAAAACTTCCACTTCCGACCATAAAACATGGCACGACCATGTCCACCCTTGGAACCTGTGTCGATAAACTTGAGTTTGATTTCCTCAAGGGCAAGACGCGTAAGCAATGACTGGCGCAGAGTCACAACCCTCTTCTTCGGACCCATACAGCATCCCTTAATCATCAAGTAATCGCTCTTCACTACTCCATAGTGAGGGAATCCTCCCATTGGAGTCACCTCCTTCTCAGTCCTATCAAAACCACAAAAACATCATCAGTAAGAAAACACTAGTCACAACAAACCAAGACAGGACCAAGCAGCTTGAAGAGAATATTTCTGACCTGTCATATTCAGTCATGGCTGAATGACTCTCCTGACCAACCTTGCTCAATCTGTAAATCTTTTTGTTCAGCTCAGTACGGTGATGATAACCATTCTGACCAGCCCTGGCAACAGTGTAGGAAACTCTTTCAGGATGCCACGCTCCAATACAAGCAACCTTACGGAGACCCCTGTGAGTCTTACGAGGAAGACGGGTCACACCTCAACGGGTAACAACACCTTCATAACCTTTACCCTTTGTGACACCAATCACATCAATCATTTCATCTTTCTGGAAAACTGCTTCGATTGGGATCTGCTTCTCGAAGAAACGTAAGCAAAGTCAACCTTCTTAGCAATGGTACCACCATTGATCTGGATCTCCATCATGTGAGCTTTCTTCTGCTTCAATCCCTTCATCTTCCTGATCTGCAAGGAGAGAGGGATCAACAAATGTCAGCAAGAAAGAAAAGCAAAACACAAGGGCGTTTGTTTCCTCGGGGGTACAAAAGAGATTATGAGCCAAAAGTTGGGATCCCACGATTTATCCAAAAAAAGAAAGGCAAAACATGACCTGAGTGTGGGCCAAAACACGGATGACAGTTCCGTATTTCTTCATCTTCTCCAGTTGAGCCTGGATGCTCTTCTTACCATCCTCGCTTTCGTACGGCTTAGCATACCCGGTGAAAGCCTTCTTCTTAGACTTGCACCAGTTCTTGTAAAACCTTCTCCTGACCTCCTCACTCAAATGCTGGGCCCAAACAGTGTTTAAGGATCGCAGGCCACGAGGAGTTTTGACATAGGCAACCACTCCAATAACCACCATAGGTGGTGTCTCAATGATGGTAACAGCCTCACAGGTCTCCTTCTTGTGAAGCTCTACATGACAATAAAAAAAAATAAAAAAATTAGCTATGTTATTATGACAGATCTGAATGAATCAAGATGAAGATAATTTACTTACTGGATCCAGGTTTCTCGACTTCTCTGACAATGTGGGTCATACCAGCTTTGTAACCCATGAAAGCTGTGAACTTGCATGGCTTGGATTGGGCATCCTTGGGAAAAGCCTTCACTGAATTGCGTGTAAGCAAACAAACAAACTGAATCCGTAAAAGGGCACATAGAAATGCCTTTAAATCTAACCTAATGAAACACAGAAAAGAAACCTAATGAATTAAATTTACCTTTTCCTCTGTGACGGTTGGCTCTCTTCCTCGGAAGGAAACCGAGAGAACCATGTCTTGGGTGCTCAAACTTCCTGTGAGACATTCTTCGCTTTCTATCTCATATTAAATTTAACAACCATCAGAGCAAGCTCAAGCCATCATATATATACTATGATAAAATTATATCAACTAGTTAACACAAGATAGCCTAAAACGAAAACCTACACTCAACCAATGACATGAGCTTCATGAGATACGAACAGTTAGGCAGAATCGTTAATATAGATATCCATTTTGTGGGAAATTCACGAGATACGAACATATATACCCTTAGAAAAGGATGGTAGAAAGACGAACCCGAGACTTGTGTGCTAAGCTCCAACGATGGGGACTGCAAGAGAGAAATAAAGTTGAAAACCCTAGTTTCGACCAACTGATAAAGTCTTCGATCAAATTTAAAATGTGGCCGGACTTTAGTTATTAGGCCAAAAACCCAACACATGTTTTCAAACATAGACAAAGGTTAAGCTTTCCAATGCATCTTTATTTTTTCTTTTTGTGGAATTCATATTATTACTGTTAAGACTTCAAAGGTCCATTGGTACAAGTGATTTCGAAACAGACTATGACCCATTACAAAATAACTTGAAACCCAAATCAAAGCCCACGTAAAAGATGTTGAGATGACTCTTTATAACTATTAAATTCTATACTTTTTTTCTTTTTGTGTCACAAATTATTAAATTCTATACTCTCAGACCAAATCCTCTATATATATATTAATTGAATAATTGAAGAGACACTAAGGTGAAAATCCTATGTATCACTCAATGAGAGTTTTAACGAACATGTCATTTAATTTAACTAATAGAAATATTTCAATTAAAATTATATGACATAGTGGAAATTTCTACATATTCTTATTAATTCCATAACGTAAGTTTATTAATACATGTTTTACAAATTTAAGTTCAACTAAATGTAATATTTACACTTACCATATCATCTATTTTAAAAAATTTCTATATTCAAAACGT